CAGCCAGGCTGGCTGGGGAATTCTGGGAGTTGAAGGGCACGCATCTTAAAGCTGCCAAGGTTGAGAAACACTGGTCCAGAGTGAGGGCGAATGGAAAGGCTGTTGTGGTCAGATTCAGCAGGAAACATAAATGTTGGTCTCTTTGCTGCCAGCCAGCGGGCATCCCCCGTTGCTTCACAGGAAAGGCTGTGTGGCGCAGTGGTTAGTTCTGGACTGGGGAGTTTGGCTCTCCGACTCTCTGGTGATGAGGAGAGAGCATCTAGCCACCTTTCTCAAGGAAGGGTAGGATGCAACGGTGTGGCTTGGTGGTGTTCTTGCCACAGACTAAAGTTAAATTAAGTTAAATTTAATGTTTAACTTAATTAAATTTTAATTTTAATTTTATTGATTGATTGATTGATTGGATTTCTCCCCCGCCCATCTCCCCCACAATAGGGGACTCTGGGCGGCTTACAAAGACATTAAAACTATGAATATATATAAAATACATACTATATATAAAATTAAAACAATTTAATTTTTAGGTTAATTTTCTTGATTTTCCCAGGGACTTTGAATCATCAACTGGACACGCAGCCTAAGTTTGTGCATCGTTAAATTTAATGTTTAACTTAATTAAATTTTAATTTTAATTTTATTGATTGATTGATTGATTGGATTTCTCCCCCGCCCATCTCCCCCACAATAGGGGACTCTGGGCGGCTTACAAAGACATTAAAACTATGAATATATATAAAATACATACTATATATAAAATTAAAACAATTTAATTTTTAGGTTAATTTTCTGGATTTTCACAGGGACTTTGAATCATCAACTGGACACGCAGCCTAAGTTTGTGCATCAGGCCAGACAACAAAATACAAACAATAGTTAATTCTAACCAACCATGTTGTGCAATTTAACCAACTGGTATATTGCACACTGGTGGCAATGCCAGGCCACCAATGTGGTGCAGTCACTAGTTCTTTAACTAACCCAGTTAAGCATGTTGTGTGAATGCAAAGTCTGTCTCCAGGTCACTGTAGTGTTTATACCATCAGGTCCTAACAGCAGCACAAAAGCAGCAGTTTTTTCTGCTTTTGTGATGGAGTTTCCGCCTTGTTCCTACAGATTTGCCTTCATCTCCCCAGACCGTGAGAGAGACAGGTCTTTAATTTTAACAGGATTAAAGTACAGTAATAGTTTTCCTCTTATTTCATCACCATCCAAGGGCACCCTCAAGGTGTATTAAATCTGTTACGCTTAACTTGGAGGCTAAGTCAGGGACCAGCAGTAGAGAAGAATGGAGTAATGTAGCCATACAATAAAGATAGAACTAGTACTCCTGGGTGTGCTTCTTGTCTGGCTACCTTGCAAGGCTGGCACCCAGACTCCCTTCTGGTCTCCAATCAACCAATCCTGCCATGGGCACACTGGGCATGGGGAAGGTCAAGATGTGCTCCAGAAGTGGAGATGACTGCTTTTGACTTTTCTGTTGTTACTAAGCCTTTGATCTTTTGTCTGGAGAAAAATCAAAGAATAGCAGTAGTTGTTTCATCCTCTTGAGTTTTTGATTGGAAGTATCATCCTCCAATAAGCTGCTTGCCCATTCTTCTAACTTCAGCTTCACTTCTGTACTGTTGCCAAAAAACAACCTCTGTAGATTTGCCCATCTGATCACCAGTGGTTGGGTGGGTCTTGAAGAAGACACTGTCCATTGCTTTTGGAATCTCCACTAAATGTTGACACAGGGATCACCCCAATGGAGTAGGTTTGCCTTAGTGATCAATACTGGCTTTCAGTCACAATTTGAGAGTCCCTTCGGAGCTGAGCATTTTTGCCTTCATTCTTCTTGGTTGCTTCTCTCACATTCCTCCTCAACTGGGTTTCCATGCTTACTGTTCTCTGTGTGGTGATGCTGGCTCCTTAACATTTCTCTGGCCACCATTTTTATAGCTTCATGAAAATGGTTTCCTGCAGAAGCACCTGTCTCCCTGCAGAACACCAGATACAGTCAGCGTGGTGTAGTGGTTAAGGTGTTGGATTGGCACTGGGGAGACCCAGGTTCTAGGCCCCTCTCAACCATGGAAGCTTCCTGGGGGACTCTGGGCCATCCTCCCTCTGAGCCCAAGAACAATTGTGGGATAGTAGTGAAGGGGCTGAACTAGGAATGGGGAGGTCCAAATTCAAGTCCCCCCTCAGCCACAGGATCTCTCTGTGGGCTTTGGGCCACTCTTTCACTCCAGTGTAGAGCGGTGAGAAGGTGCTGGACTAGAAGTGGGGAGATCCTGGACTAGAAATGGAGAGAAACTGAATGGGTGATTTTGAGCCAGTCACTCCCACTCAGCCCAACCTACCTCACAGGGTGGTTATTGAACTGCTGTTCGAAAGATGAGATATAAATCAAATCAAATAATACCAATGGAACCATGTTAGCACCACTACTTGGCTACAGTCCTGAGTGGCACCCTTCCTAAGTTCTATAGTTGGTAGAAGAAGTGGACCACCTTTCAGTTTAAATGCTGACTAATCAGGATTTGTTAGACTCCCCCCCCCCCCCCCCCGGTCTGCTGTAAGGCTTTTCCAAGCACCATTTTTAAAATGGTGTCCTTCTGGCCTTTAAGCCCCCTTCCAGGGGTCACTGGTCATGAGGTTAGCCTGTTTAAGGAGTCCTCTGCTGAAACAGCCTAGGCTGCGCTATTCCTTCTGGCAGGTTTAGCCCTCACTGGCTGCCTCCAAACCATCTCCACCGCTCTTTCTTTAGCATCAGCGCCCCATGCGATTAAAGATTCAGGAAGATGAGCCAGCAGGGGAAACAATCAGGGAAGTTCAGAAGAGGGAACACCTGGAAACGGGAAGAGACCCTTGCTCTGCTTGAGATCTGGGGTGAGGCGAAGGTCCAGCAGGAGCTGAGGTTCAGCCATCGGAATCTGGACATCTTTGAGAAAATATCCCAGGACTTGCGTACGAAGGGATATCATCGATCCGCCTTTGAGTGCAGAACCAAAACCAAGACTCTACGGCTGGAATACAAGAGAGTGGTAGTTCATAACTCCCGCTCTGGGAATACCCCAGCGATGTGCCCCTTCTTTCCCCAGCTGCACCGGATTCTCCGAGGGGACGCTAGTGTGGCACCGAAACGGGTAGCGCGCAGCTTTACCCTCCGATGGCCCATGCCAAACCAGGTGCCCCATCAAGACCACGGCGATGTTGCTGCTGCTTTTGCTCAGCCTCTCCTGGAGAAAGACCTGGAAGTACAAGACATACACATGGGGGATGGGGGAGAATACCTCGCACATCCAGAATCAGGTAAGAAGTCATCGGGAGGCGAATTCTGGGTTTGGGTATTTGCACTCCACTACAGCCCTCTGGCATAAACCCATGGATGTTGTTCAGCCATTTACTGCACGGTAACTGATGTCTCGGATGTCAAGCAGGGCCTGGCAGGGCTCCTTCGTTTGAGACTCTGCCAGATGATGCCATAATGACATCATTACTGAGTAGCGTGTGGACCATCTTGTCAATACGTGGCTGGTTGAGTGGGAAGCGACCATTATCTTAGGGGTTCTAGTGATGCTGTGAGATGTGCCTCCACTTTGCTTTTCAGAAGTTACCAACCAGGAGATGCGGGTGGGGGTTACATCCTCAGTAGCAGGCAGTTTTGAAAATTAGCAGCCCTGGTTAGTCCGTTGCAGGAGTTCTTGCCCATTTCAACCAGAGCTTCTCTTCTTTCTGAATCCTTGGAAATATTAGAGGGAAGGTTTGAGCTGCAGAACTTTAACAAACGATGTCCTACTGCTAAATTGCAAGGATACCTATTGTCCTTGCTGTCTTGTATGTGTGGATGGTGTCCTAGAGAATTCCTGTGTCAACATGCAGCAGTGCATCAGGGACTTTTTTCTTGAGCACTTTCCTTTTTAGGACAATGAAGTCAACTTCCTAAGGAAGTAATAAATACTGGTGGGGGTTAAGACGTATACAGAAACACCGAGAGAAAGCAACCGTCAAACAGATTCCTGTTGAAATTAAGCATGTTTTCTTCTTGTGGCCCTGGTGAAAGTCATAGAGTTTCACAAATCTCTTTCCTATCTATTCTGTGATTTCAGCTCCTGAACAGACAGCTCACCCAGAGGGTCATGTAATTTTTTCTCCAGAGAAGGAAGAGGGGGAGGAGGAGGAAGAGGAGGAGGAAGAGCAAAAGGTAGAAGGACAGCATAGTTTGGATGCAAGTAAGTACAGTTTTAATTAAACAATAGCATTTCTACCTCAGGATGTCTCTGGGGGCCTTTATCCAACACATCTTCCCCTGTTGATCAAGACTTCAGACTGGTTCGTGTTTTATCTGGATGAGAGCTGCTGAAATGGTTCCTCTGCTGAAGCTCATCCTTCAGGTATCATGTTTCTAATTCCCAGGGTTGCCGGAACAGGAGTTCAAGGTGGAAGGACAGCCGTGCGCACCTGGGCCTTCTGCTTCTGAGGATCGAGGTACAAATCCCCTTCACTTCTGTTTTGAAGCGCATGTTTTTTTATTATGTGTCATCAAGTTGGTGTTGACTTGTAGTAACCTCTGAAAACACTACTTTGTGTAAATTAAACAGCTCCCTGGAAGATACTACTCCTTCCTCCCTGGAAGATACTACTCCTTGTGTATCAAGCCTGATAATCTCCCTTCCTTTTAAGCAGCTGTTATGCCTTATGAGAGAGAGACAGTTTGGTGTAGTGGTGAAGGCACCAAGCTAGAACCCAGGAGACTGTGAGTTCTAGTCCTGCCTTAGGCACGATGCCAGCTGGGTGACCTTGGGCCAGTCCCTCTCTCTCTGCCCTAGGAGGAAGGCAATAGCAAGCCACTTCTGAAATCTTTTCAGAAAAAACTGCAGGAACTTGTCCAGGCAGTCACCAGAAGTCAACACTGACTCAAAGGCGCGCACACACATGCTTTACAAAACCCTTCTCCTGGTCTTGTTTCCTAGGCACTCATGTACCCAAACTGGCCACATTATCACCAGCTGCTAGATTGTCCATGTTGCGAAATAAGAAGAGAAGAGCCCCTATGGTGCAGATCATTGCTGACAGTATTCTTCAAAACGCAGAAAAGGATCGGGAGCTCCTTGCCCGGGAATTAGCAGCAGAGCGGAAGCGTTCCGATGCCTTCCTCCAGGTCTTGGAGAATGAAGCCAGAGAGCGCTCCCTTGCACGTCAGGAGATTTCAAGGCTGAACCAAGCGACTCTGCAGTCTCTACAGGTTCTTAATGAAACGCTGCAGCAGCTGCTTCCCCCAACCCCTGTACCTTCCTCTTCTCGTGTGGAAGATTATTGTGACCAGCAAAGACTGAACCAGGCCCTCTGCAACCAGTCCAGGCCTGTTTCGGGCTCACCAGGCAAGGTATCATTTGGGGGAACTTGTCACACGTGACGCAAAGGAACATCCAGCAGGACTTAGATGTTCTCACCAGAGTCACTCCAGGAAGTTTCTTTTGCAGGACTTGAATAAACATCAGCCCTTAGCCTCCCCCTCAAAGGTAGGGAAGTAACACTACTGAACTCTGGTTGACTCAGAACACACAAGGTAGGTTTTGAGTTGGCCTCACATTGTGAGAACAGTTGGCTGGGACCAAGAACTCGTAAGAGTTTTTATGGCATCTGAACACGGTGCCCCATTGATTGCACCAAACCCCACTGTTCCAGAAGGGGGTGCACTTCTCTCATGACCTGCACTTGCCAACCAACCCCTAGGATCACATAGTGGAACAGCAGTTGCCCAAGCACTGTATTTCCAAATTTAGAAGCAAATGGAGTCGGTTTCTAGTCACCATAGCCCACCCATTGCTGTGAGTGCCTACCACCTCCATGCTCAAGAGTCATTCAGAATATTCTGCCATTCATCTCCAAATGAAACAATGCCTACAAGAAGCAGAAAAAGTCAGTGACAGGCCAATCACGTATGTTCCCCAGGAATGCTGCAAGATTAGCCCAGGGAGCTGCTCGATAGGCCACCAGTCTAGCTGTCCTGAACCTGGATGACCTCTTCCACCGGCGTGGGCGCTGGGAACACATCATGAGGGGGAGCTAGCAATTCCTGCAGCCAGGTCATGGTGACCTGCACTGCAAGGTGTAGTAGCTAACAAAACACTTTCACAGAACAAGGCGGGCTGCCATCTGGTGCTGCGGGAGTGAATATGGGGGCAGGGCAGGTGATGTTCGTTTCTTCCCGGCTGTAGCAGTCCACCAGAGAAGCAGAACACCTCAAGGTGCTGTCTCAGAAGCCGTCTACAATGCCAGAATTTCCAGCAGGATGGCAACGCATTCACAAATAAGAGGGAAAGCCAAGGAAGGCAGTAGGAAGCAGTGTCGACAATGACTAGTGGTGTCCCGTTTGAGGAGTGCACACGATAGAGTTCCCCTGATCCTGCCTTCCCAGACCTGCACTCTCTGGGCGGTCCCAGCTGTCTTGGCAGGATGCTGGGGGTGATGGTCTCCGAAGGAGCAAGGACAGAAATCTGGCCAGTGCGGTCCCTTGTGGAACGTCACTCCAGAGCTGCCTTCGGCATAAAGGCCCCCGCCATCTCTGGCCTCCTCAGTGGTGGTTCATGAACTTGGGCCTCCCTAGGTATTTGCCTTTGTGCAACACTCCTTGCAGTTCGCTGTTGTCTAAGTTGCATTGCAGGATTATATGCAGTTAGTATTGCTACCTGTGTAGCAGCCTAATAAAGTTCGTAATCTCAAAGGTGTGTTTCTTTGCTAATAAACCCCATGTATTGTCCTGATGTTCCCTGACGTTGCATGGCACTCTGAGTCAGTTTGACACTAGGCCTACTGCCTTGCTCTGTGTACAGGTAGTCTCTGACTAACAATGGCAATTGGGACTGGAATTTCTGTTGCTAAGCAACGTGGTTGTAAAACATGACATGTGACCATGCCACTTAGCAACGACAGTTTCAGCACTTCCCAGTTGCTGTTAAGCGAATCCCAAGCAGTTACTAAGCGAGGACATAACGTGGTTGCCATTTGCGACCCCCTGCCAGCTTCCCCATTGACTTTGCTTGTAGGAAGCCAGCAAAGAAAGTCACAAATGGTGACCATGGGATGTGTGACGTAATCACGAGCCAGGCGCTGAGCGATCATGTGACCAGGGGGACTTTGCAGTGGCTGGAACCTGGAGGGCCAGTCGTAAGTACCACTCGTTCAGCGCCATCACAAGTTTGAACAGTCGCTGAACAAGTAACCACCTGTAATGTTATGCAATCATTCATTTTGGGAGTGGTGTAAGATCAGATTAATGATCTGCTTCCGAATATTAGCTCACTGTTCTTAAGCATAAGGACTCATTTGTGCCATGAAATTTCATGGAGTATTTCTCAAGTCTCGCCATGTGTCCTGTGGCTTCATAGCTGCAAGACCGTGCTGTTCCACCCTGTACCCCAACGTGTCATAATTGCCGGTGGCTACCTCTCACATTTTTCTTGCTGCTGTCACTGGACAAATGCTCCTTTACAAATCTCAAAGCCACCAGGGCAATTCAGGGCTTTATTCTCATGTGTTTCTTTTCACTTTTGCAGCTACTTTCCCAAACAGCCTGGGGAATGTCCCATTCTTTTTTTTCTCCTGAACTCAGAAATCCAGAGGATTACTGTGATGAAATTGTAGGTTACTTGCTATTTATGCATGCTACTGAAGGGTTAATGCACATTTAAATGCATGCACATTTCCTGATAAGATATGTGTAGAGAGTCAGGAAGATTGCCTTTTAAGGAAATATGTAGGAACTGTTTAATCGAGAGCCACCCAGAGTCTCACTGGGGGAGATGGGCAGCATATAAATTTAAGAAATAAAACTGTTGGCAAGGCAAAGGGGGCTGAAGTATTTTTTAAGAACAGTGAGATAATATTCAGAAGCAGATCAGGCAGACACTTCCCCAGTTCACTGGAGTATAAGAAGTGGGAGAAAGTACAGTACAATCAGACTTGCTTACAGTGTTTCTCAACCCTGGCAGCTTTAAGATGTGTGGACTTCATCTCCCAAAATTCCCAGCCAGTCCACACATCTTAAAGTTCCAAGGTTGAGAAACACTGTGCTACAGTAGACTGATGTCAGCCTATTAAGCAGGTCAGACCAGAAAACTCTGCAGGAAGGTCAGAACTACTTTTATTAAGATTGGCTCGCAAAACAGAATTTTGCAAGTCGGACTGTGCTGTACTTCTGAAGGTTGGATTAAAAAAGGAGCTGAGTTGCAAAACTAAAGCCATACTAAAAAAGGGAAAAGCAGAGGATATGGCAGCAGCGGAGAAAAATTGGGGTTTGGAGCATTGTTTTCATATCCACAGACACGAAGAAGGCAAAAGTTTTTTCTCAACCTTGAATACACACAGCATCTTCCTTAGCTTTCAAGAAGCAGAGCTGAAAGAAAAGAAGGGCCAGAGTTCTGCTTACTGGCTTTTCTGAAAAAAGACAGCAAAACAGAGAACTTAGAATTGGAAAAAAGGAAGCAAAGAAACAGACAAGTTTCTTGGGGGAAAAATCAGAAGGAATCTGGTGGCACTTTTTCTGACTAACAAATGTTACTAAAAGGCATAAGGTTTTGTGAGCTCCCGCTCACTTAATCGGATGCATAGAGCCAGACTCTATATATCAGTGTTTCTCAACGTTGGCAACTTTGAGAAGTCTGGACTTCAACTCCCCAGCCAGCCATGGACCATTTTTAATGGACTGTACCCCAGACCAGCATAAGGAGGGTGAGGTACAGTCCATTAAAAAGCATAGAAGATACATCAGACTCTAAAAAAATTATGAAAAGCTAGAAGCTATATCAAATGTATTAAAACAGAAAGTATATATAAAAAGCAAGAGTCTATAAGTGTCTAAAAGAAGGGGTAGGAGCATTAGATGGGTGTAGGGGATTATAAACTTTAGTATGTGGAAGACTATCAAATACAGAGTGTTCTAGCATGGTGAACTCGATGCTCCTTAAGTCTAGTCAGACTACCCTGAGCACATTTATTGGTGACTAAATCCCTTTGAATTTTACCTTGAATAGTTGTGCAAAAAGATAAAGGGATATTTCACATACCTAGAGTCCTCGCAGAGTAGAAAGATGGGGCATAAAAGAAAGGAAGCGTTGAAGCTCATCCACATTGCCTTATAGGCAGGTAACTGATGGAGGCAGAAAGAACACTTAAGAGAATGTTTTATTATGGCTGCAAATGTTTCTGCAGACTCTGAGTAATGGAAGGAATCTCTCTCTCTCTGTCTCTCTTTTTGTAATTTAATGAAATTTTTAATAAGGAGTCTTCAAAGCTTTCACCAGCCTACTTTGTAAATCCCATGAAGAGACTTTGTCCAGGATTTCTTGTCCTTTCCCTGATTTGTCTTTTGTATTCCCATTTTGGTGATCTCAGTTTTGTTGCCTTCCATATCTTCAAACTCTATCATGTCTATAAGGTCAGGTAAAAGTTTTTTAGAATTTTTCTCATCATCTCCTAAAATTTTATCCATTGACACCTGTGCCCTTTATGAAATTTCAGTTATTAATATCTCAGTCCAGTTATCAAAAAACTCTTTAAGATAAGAAGAGGTTATAGCTGGCTTAAGCCATTTTTACTTTTTTTCTATCTGATCCTTTAGTTCCCTCTAGTGTCCATTTGAGACCTTCATCAAGCCTCAGTTCCTAATATGGGTTTAGTTCCATTTCAGTTGTTTCCCACGAGTATATTATTTAATTATATACTTGTTTTTCAAGTCTTACAGCAAAAATAACCAATATTCCAAATCTTTCTGGTTTCCCAATCTGTTTAAAACTTTCTTAAATCAAAATCCTTTTTTTTTTTTTTGCAAATTGTATTTTTTTTTTTTTTGCCCATTTTGGCCAATTGTATATTATTTTAAATTCTTAAGTCTCTGTTTAGAAGAAGGTAAAACTCACCCAACTCTTCTAGTCAGAACGTCTTGCCATGATAATTGCAGGGACTGGCTCGAAGGCACGCAGCACACACAATTCTTTCGCAGCAGTAAACCTCCATGTAAATTACAGGAAGTCAGTCGTCTGTTAGACTCAGGACCAATGGCAAACTCACAAAGCTACGTAGCTGTTATTTCTTTGAGAAATAATTGCACTACTTGAAGTACTTGTTAAAAAAAACTGTGCTCATAGAACCAAAGAGGGACCAGTGGCTTGCGGGAAGCAACGAGACAAAGCCGTAGGAAATCTGAAATGACAGAACACAAGATTGTTATATGCCGATTCAGTCAAAGATAACAAGCCAAACCACTTTGACCTTTTCCTGTTTGTTCTGTTTATTTAAATAAAGGAACCGTCATCACCATCATTACATCATCATCATCTTTTCTTCAGCCAGCAAATAAACAAGAATTTGGTTATTCTAGCTGAAAGAAACCTCTTGATATTCCATTTTATTGTAATTAACGTTCTTGACTGTGTTTCACCTACATCTCACCCTTCCTTTAGCAAGCCTATGGGGTTTTCACCTGTTTAAATGGACTTGTAATTAAAAAGGTATAAAGATACTTAACAGTGCTGGCCAGATCAAAGCCACCTTAAAAGCCCCTGATGACAGTAAACGGGATGCTGTTAGGAAAACGCAGCCTTCCATAAACAAGACATAAAGCGGGTTCTCGTACGAAGCTAGCACATCCAGAAGCAAAGCAGCTACATTATGGCTTCACATGACAGCACGGGTAAGCCAAAGCCCTAAGTCATCATGTGGCTGATTTGGAAGTCTCAACGGTTAAGGGGAAACCAAACAAAGCTTTGTGGTTTGATATACTGTCTAAATAAGTCATTAGAGTGAGACTGCAAATTACGTGGGCAATATAGAATTACATTTCCAGGCTTTATCTGCAATTTGCAACTGAATCTGAGGAGATGGGGAGAGAAATCTGTAATCTTGTCCTGTGTGGTTTTTTCCCCCCCGACCAAAATTATATCATTTGGCAGATTGTTGTGGTTCGCTCTGAAAGGGGATCCGTAATCTGGCAAGTGTGCAACATGGCTCTGATGAGTAACAGGGCCCTTGTGCAATATTCTTCACGTTTCTATACAATGTTTGATCTTATGGATATAAGAGCAGAATTCGAGAACAAGACATAAAATATTTAAATGAAATGCAGTGGCATTAGAACGATATCCTTCATAATAAGTATGGACTACAAAGCAACGCATACATGTGCAGGCATTTTGTTTCCTCGTTCATTGCAAAGAACCCACAACATGGAACGTCCTTACAAAAAGCATCTCATGACTCATCCCAGTCAGGCTGATTGTACAACCATTTCTAAACCGGAAGCTCCAAGAAACAAAATCGTTTGAAATCTTTGATTAATGTTCTATTGTCTTCAGAAAATTCCAAGCTTCATTGTAAAAGGCAAACGCTGAGAGAGCCAGAGAGGTATGTGATTCACTGATTTTATTGCTGCTGTTTACAGTAATTTCTTGACTGTTTTACCTCCAGACACGTCTCTGCAGGTTGGGGACATCCAAATCGTACAATTCTCAGCATCCTCAGAGCTGAAGGAACCATTAGTCCAACATACCTGGAGCATACCTTATTGTTTTATGTCTTGGGAGGAAACTGTAAAATTGTGGGGTTTTTTAATGAGGTGCCCCAGTACAAAACCAATTATTGATTGATTGATTGATTGATTGATTGATTGATCCAATATATATGGCACCTATCTATCGAAAGAAACTCCGGGTGGTGAACAAAGGAAAAACAACACAAAAAGAAAACTTTAAACAATGCAAGCGGAGCTCCAATAAAATCATAGTCACCAAGAAGGGAAGGTGTTGGCATGATAAATGCCTTTTTAAAGCCCCTGAAGAATAAAACATTTGTTTCAATTCAATGTTGGGGAACCTAAACAAATCTCAGAGAAATAAAAAGACATACTGAAGTTTGGAAAAATATTTTAATAATATTTAATACAAGTTTAATAAATTATTATTTATTGTATTTGTGGGAAAGGAAAGGTTATTATGGTGTGGGGAGGATCTATAGGATGTCGTGCCACATGTGTTCACCAAATCACTCACAAAATGTTTATTGAATTTCACATAGTGAGAAAAGAAATTGGTGGGGGGAGGGAGAAGCAAGGTTTTGCTTAGTGGTGGAATGTATTTTTTCCATGTAAAAGTCCTAATTCATAACTTAATGCCTAGAACAGTGTTTCTCAACCTTGGGAATTTTAAGATGCGTGGACTTCAACTCCCAGAATTCCCCAGCCGAAGCCGAGGGCCGGGGGGGTTCGGTGGGGAGGGTTCCGCCATCCTTATGCGTACACAGCCTGAGGGAAATCGCCCCGGG